AACTATCGATATCTATATCTTTACCCAAATCTCAACTACAAATAAAACCTTCTGCTTACCACATATATTATCCGTTCACTTTTAACATTTAAGCAACATAAAGAACTGACCGTAACATTATCGATAGATTGGAAAAAAAAGTTAGGCAATTTTATGAGTTATAGTTGATTATAACAAGTTTTTTCTTTACAAGTAATGTATTTTTTTATTTCTAAATAAATGATTTCGAGATCAATTAAAGTAATCAATTTGTTTGCAATAGTATAGTGATAGATATAATAAATAAAGTTTATTTTGATATGCACAAATATAATTTATTTTAATGTAAATCTTATTTTTAACCTAATTTTAATTTATTATCTGACCTATTTTTCCTATTTTTCATTATTTTCTAAAGTTGTTATATATAATTCATATAACAGGTAATTACAATTAAACTTTATCCTTTTAAAATTTATTATAATAAATTTTTTGAAATTTAATTTTAAAGATAAATTATTTAAAAATCTTTTAAAAAACTTAAAATCTTTAAAGTTGATAAAATAAAATTAAAATATATTTTTTATATAGTAATGATATTACTAAAATTAATATTTAATATTTTATAAAGAAATTAACATTTTTTTTTTTTAATTTTGCAGGCAAATTTGCTTACTATACAGTCTAAGGAATAATTAAATTAAAGTTTTAAAAAATAAATTAATAAAAGAAAATGATATTAGTTATTAAAAATATGTGTTATATTAAATCAATCTTAAACTATTATTACTTATAATTTAAAATATTTAAAAATATTTTATATTATATTCATAATTATATCTTTTTATTTTTTTTTAAAAAATAAATCTTCAATTTATATAATATAATATATTTATTTATTAAAAACTTAAAATTACAATGGTTTATTAGTATTTATTTTAAATCAATTATTAATTAAAATATAAAAAAGAATATTTTGAATATTTAATTTCTTTTTCTAATTATTGACAATAAAGCTAATCAAAATGATTATAATAATAAAAATATTAATAAAAAACAATTTAAGCTATTAAAAATTTAAAAATTAGAATTTTTTTTTTGTTTTATATTATATATATGGGATCTTTGCAATAGAAAGGAAGGAAACTCTAAAAAAAATTAAAATTTTACTTTCTAAGCTAATTATGATTTTTTTTTTTGTAAAATAAGTCCAAATTTAACATTAACTCAAAAAAAATTTTTTTTAGAGTTTTCTCCCTTTCTATTGTAAAGCTCCCATATATTAGAAATTATATATTGAGCATAAATTTAAAAGTTCCTTAAATTGAATTGTTATTTTTACTTATAATTTTATATTTATAAATTATTTTAAAATACATATTCTGAATATAGAAGTTTTATTAATTAAATACATTTAATAGTAATATATTTACTCTATTAAAAATAGAACTGATGTCAAATATAAATTGCCTTTCTATTGTTTATTTTTTCAACCCTAAGGGACCCGTTAAAGTTTTTAACAGTTTTGATTTCAGTTTAGTTTCGGTTTCAGAAATCCCCTTATAAGATAACTTAATAGATCCTTGTCTTTCCATTTGATCATTATAGAATAAATGGTTTGGAAACTCGCTTAAATATTCTTGCTCTAATAGTTTCATTTACTAATGAATTTATACCTTCTTTTATGAGTTTAGTTTACAAAATGCGACATTGCCTTTAGTACGAGAAAAGAAAGTAGGGTTTTACAAATTAAATCTAATAAAAGTATACATGAAAATGGGAATAATAATAACACAATAACAAAGATATATTATGCAAATAAATAAATGTTTACTATACAACTGTTTAAAAGAGTAAGACCTATTAAGACTATGCGAATTCTTGTTGAACGACATTTTTTCTTCTTTTTACCGATTATATATTTAACGTTGGTGCATACATGCATTAGTCCTATAGCCCTAATGACTACTTCAAAAATTATTGTAACAATTTCCTTGTGAAAAAAAATACGCAATAAATTTTTTACTTTATTGTAGAAACGCATGTTGAAAAGAGGAATTTTCATAAATTATTGTCTATAAAATAGAGTTGTAATAATTAAAATCGTGAGACTAAATTAAGTACCTTTGAGAAATCCATAATAATTTATTTCGTTTTCCATGGGTTCATTAAATGTTGCGTTCGAGATTCGTTCTTTGTATGATATTTTCGGGGTAGACATACATAATCTTTTCTATATGCTTGCTTCAGCAAGTCTAAAAAGCACGGCAAATTATCCTTTCTTCCGGTTCGATTTTTCACATTTCGCAGACCTGTTTCCTGAAAAGCTAGAATCCGCATTTTTGATCTCTAACGATAAATAATCCACGCATTTTGACGACGTGTAATTTTTCCGAACCATCTCTTTTGCTTTTCATCGCAAGACGTGTAGTGTTCGAATTATTAAAAGTGTCAATATTGAGATTAAATTTATATTTTGCAATTTCTTGGTGTTTTTTCCAAAATGTAAAACCTTAGATCATTATTATCACCTGATTGTTGTATTTTTCTTATTTTTTAAATTATTTGCTCACTTACTCATTGTTTGGGCATTTTTTTTAGAAAAAAAACTTTTTGAATGTATGAATGCATTTTTTTCTAATAAATTATATATAATTGTAAATCAGGGTTCTTATGTTTTTCCGGAACAAGTAATGTAAGACAGAATGGTTATTGTTGATATTTTTGGTGTTTTTATTTTTAGCAAACAAGTTTTTTTATACATATTTTCTCTTGGAAAAAATTAGTCTGAATAGACATCATGTACTTAAAATCATGGGTCACCATATAAGTTTATCTAAATTCATGAATAAATGCTATGCAAAAAAAAAATGCACCATGTATCATGCGCATATATTGTGGCATAAATACATGTTAATATATATTGAGATTAATTTACTGCGCACAATCAACGGATTTCCAGAAGGCGCAGTTTTTCAAAAGTTCAAAAAAGGGGCTCGGAAAAACCGAAAAAAATGCCATTATAAGAACTTTGTTCATTTATAATTCGGAAAAAAAAAAATTTTTTTTCTCGTCAATTTTTTTTGCTTTTCAATCCAAGCCCCTAACGCATAAAATTTCTTCATTTATAAAATTTTTATTTTAGTAAACAAGTTTTTTATTTTGAAATGACTCAAAATCTTGAATATTTTTGCAAAAAACCTATTAAAAGCGATGAAGAAATCGTATACGGTTCAAATTATAACTTTACTTTAGATATTGAAACGCTTTTAATAAACCCAATAAAGAACGAAAGAGCAAAATATTATAAGAAAACGAGATTTAATAAACCATTTAGTCTTCAAAATAGTTCTATTCTATATCGTAAAAACAAAGAAGCACAATTTGCTCTTGCCGGACTAAAGCTAAAGTCGGATGAGAAATCAGAGATAATTAGCAAAATGTGGAAAAGCGAGCCTCGAAATATTAAGGAAATATTCAATGCACTTTATAGAATGAATAAAGCATTTCATATCAAGAAATATGGAAATAAATCTCACCCGAGGCAGCAAGCAAGATTAGTCGAATCAAATTTTTCATCACCAGACTTTGATAATAACCCTCAACCGAAACTTTACAGTAACAATGTTCAACATATGGCAGATTTTGAAATGTTCCCGAATTCAACTTCTATGGAGGTTGATAACGACATTTTTCAAGATTTGAATTATGATTTTGATTTTGAGTTGTTCTCGGCTGCTTCCTCTCCGAAAACATCAACAGACTTTTATGGTGACGATTTTAAATGTGAATTGAATTCTTTCCCATCGTTGAACGAGATTGAATCAAAGAATACAACACCCGTCACAGAATTGCAACAACTTGATAACGTTAACTTATATCATGATGAGTGTCCACCTTTTCTATCAGATATAAGAACTCGCCAAGAACATCTCAAAGGTACTTTACTTTATCTAATAAAGAAGACTAACTAATGTTTATATCTCGTCAAGAATTCCTTCTAACAATCTTACATTTCAATTTATTTATAGATAATTATTTAAATATTAAAGATTCTAAAAATTTTCAAAAATTATTTAATCAAGTATTATCATAAATTGTCACATTTTTTATCCTTTTCTTTAACGATGACATTTGTGGCAATATATGAAAATACTTGATTAAATAACTGTTGAAAATTTCTAAGATCTTTAAGATTTGAAAATAATTTTACACAGAAAATTTTTTTATTCATTAGTTTCTTTTTTATTTAAAAGGTTTAAATATTGTAAAGATATTAAAATTTTTTAGATTTATATAAAAGATGTTTATGTTTTGTATTAGTTTTGTATTTTATTATTTATGATTTTTTAGAATTATTTATTACTTATGTAATTTATAGACATTTGTTTAATTTATTATCATAAAAAAAGAAACGGTAGCTCTTTATAATTTTAATAAAGCATATTAAAAAATTTGTATTTTCAATGTTTATTGATTATACATATACTTTAAAAAAGATTAAACCATCTTAAAAACTTGAAATATATTTCTCGCTATTGGTAGAAAATTACGGAATTTAAGCTTAATAAAATTAGTAGAATCTATATAATTCCGTGGCTATTTGTTAATTACACTCGTGATGATAAATAATTCGAGGTCGTTCAGTTATCATTATCGATGCAAAATTTAATATCGATACGATTTCGTAAAAAAATATCAAATCGATAAAGATGTCATTTAGGCAACGTTTTGTTTTTTTTTTACGGTTTTTATTTGAAGATTTTAATTTTATAAACAAATAACATCTGTACAAGGTTTATTTTATTCTTGATATATTATTATATATTACAAATAAACTGGCCTGAAATTTTGATTAGGTAAATTAGAATGAAGATATATTTTCGGGAAGGAGGAATAAACATTAATTAATTCTATTTTTCCAAATAAGAGTTTCGAATTCACTCCGGAGATAGTCTGATTAAAATTTTGCCGTCCCAAATGTCTTAAACTTGTCATTTTTATGTAAAAAGAAAAAAAAAATAATAATAATCATAGACGATTATAACGATTACATTAACGTAATTATAAGGATCCTGATACTAAATGATTTTAAAGTGAAAATGTGAAATAATAAAATTTTTATTATCTACAATTTAAAATTTAGTCCGTTTCTTTGACAATATTATAATATTATCAAATTCAATTCAAAATAAATTTGATTCGGCAAGCTAAATTTGACTCTACTTGTTTTGTGACTTTTTTTTGTTTGCTTTTGCTTTTGCGGTTCGGTTGATACTTAACGTTTCCATATATTTCGACGTACTTTACTTCAGCCATCCTAGAAAGTGCAGAAAACACTTCTTTAACATCTTCTGGTTCGTTTTTCCACATTTGGCTAATGATCTTTGATTTCTCAGCAGATTTTAGCCCGACAAGGGCAAGTTGTGCTGTTTTGTTTCTACGATATAGAATAAAACTATTTTGAGGACGTGGTGGTCTATTAATTCCTGTCTTCTTAATATGTTTTGCCCTTTCTCTCGTCATTGGGTTTAACAAAAGTTTTTCGATATCTAAAGTAAAATTATAATTTGAACCGTAAACGATCTCTTCATCGCTTTTAGTGGTTCCGAAACGAAAATCATGAATACCTTCTAGTTGTTGAGTGTTTGGTGACATTGTTTAAGTAAAGATTAATGATAAAAAGTTGAAAAAAAGTTTTTTTTTTTTTTTTGCGAGAGAAAAAAAGATGATGTATGATTTCTTTTATCAAGAATTTGTTGGGCTTTTGTTAATAAATTAGGGAATTAATTTATCTAACAAACAATATAAAGTACCAATCAAAAAAATTTTTTTTCAAACAAAAAAAAAAAAGATTATTCAAGCAAATAAAAAGATCAGAAATGGTCTAGTTTTACGCAAATCCTCCCATATGAAAAGGACAGGGTACTTACAAGTGAAGAAGCAAAAAAAACACACATAATTAATAGTGAGATCCTAGAATGGTATACAAAATATGATTGTTAATTTATCTAAAGTGGGATGATCTTTTCAAATAGGTAAACAATATAATTTAATTAATTTTCGTTTTCTGGTTTTCCTTGTATAAAAAAAAGGTCGATAATTATGCAAACAATTACAATTTCTTTAATTAAATTTTTTTTTTTGGAAATTCCCTCACATTACAAAATGAAATGATTATGTCACATGGTATCACCCTTATTCCCTATTTCGCGGATGATCAACGTTATCACGTAGTTTTCTCTCACGTCTGAAGAAAAAAAAAGAAATAATGTCACAAACAACGGTAAATAAAATGAATAAATTAAAAATAATATGATCATTGTCGAATGTAAAAAAAATATATTTTTTTCTTCGCGTTTTTGTTATAGAAGTTAAAAATCAAATAATTTTTGTTATAATATGTGTGTTTACAAGTTATCGAGAAGAACATCCCCTTTGTTTAAAGCTAGCACCGCAATTCCGAAACGACTTTATGAAATCATCAAGGGCGTTAGCTTGAAAAATAAAGCGAGTAAAAGAACTTATTTTACTTTTTTTTAATACAATTCAATTGGTTCATTTAATTAATTAAATATAATTTTTTTAGGACTTGGGTTACTTAACTATAAATCAAGATGGTATATCTGTGAAAGCCGGCGCATTAGGACAATTCCAAGGTTTTTTTTTTTTGTTTTTTTCAAGTTACAATATTCTATTATAATAATTTGCCTTACCTATTTTTTCTTAGCTGTATCGTTCGTTCCACGTGAATTCTTTTATTCGTATATTTTCAATGGAACGGAACCGCTTGTAATAGTTGTTGCATTAAAAGATCTGTATTGGGTGTTGGAGATTTCCCAAGATAATCTCGCCTCACAGGGAGATATAGAAGAATACCCACAAGATTCTTTTCATGAATCAGTACAAGATCGACAACGAAGAGAGGAGAACGAGGATGAAAATGGGGATGACGTAGCAACTTTGAATGATGAATTCTTTTATAAAAGTTATGAAGCATCGATTGTATATGAGAAAGAGGGATCGACATTAAATGTGGAATTATTTGATGATACAAATTCAAATTTCATTAAAATAGTTCCTTTATTACAAAATCCTATAGGTGATATTCCTGAGCCAAGCAATCGGGTTATGTTTTTTGAAATGTTGTGTTATGAATTGAAAATGATCCTAAAGGATTGCATAAAAACTGGTTCAAAATTTCAATTGAATGGATATAAATATGACGTGGTTGCATTGAAATTCAGTAGTCGCGACGAATTTCGATTCGTTGAGGTAAACTCGGTTCTTTTCTTGTAAATTGAGGATTTTTATATCAAATTTATTTATTCTCAAAACGAATGACCAATTAGCATAACATTAGGGCTGAAGCGTTCTTTCAATGCAAGATTGATGAGGACTTCCAATTCACGTATGTAAATAATCATTTTTTTTTTATTAAAAAAAAAGATTATTACGGGAATCATCTAACGTAATTTTTTTTATTTGTAATAGATATTCAAAAAATTGTATACAACCTTTGTTATCATTATCCATCGATAAGAAAAGTAATATAGAAGTGATGGTCTATAGAAACGGACTAATGAATCTTAAGTTTAGACCCGGTGATGTACAAGATTCATATGTAAATTATATGGTAATTATGTGTGAATATTTTGGGATTTAAATTAAATATTTATATCCTAAAATGTTTTTAACAAAATAGGTGATGACAATGATTGATGAAGATGAGTGATTCAAGGCAAGCAAAAAGAAGGTATGTTTTTAATAACATTACTTATATTTGGCCAAAAATTCTTCTTTAAATTCCCCTTTGTCTGACAAAATAAAAAAAATTGGAATTCCATCTTTAACAACACATTTAGGATGAGACAAAGCTTCTTTGAGAGCACATCTTTTTCCAATCTTCAATAATTTGGTCGTTGGTAAAGTATCACCGATAGTAGGTAAAGTATATTCGAAATAAATTGAGAGTTGAAAGGCCTTGTATTTTTTTTCTTTGTCCCATGGGACATGTCGCTCAAACATTACTTCAAGATGTTTTAAAAATGTTTCTTCTTCATTAAATGATTCAATAAAATCTGATTCTTTATATTCTGGATATGAAAAAATTACTGGCCAAATTAAATTATTTGTTTCTTTATCTAATCGAACGGATTTTTCTATTAATGCTTTCGTTTTTGATGTCCTAATCATTTTTATGTTTCTTCCCTATAATAAATTTATTGTAGACTTTAGAATAAGTACAAATGGCTTGATTCGTAAAAAGAAAAGAAAACAAAACAAAAAAAAAAATTACCTTAATAGCTCTTGCTAATTCTTCTTTCGATTCACGTATTTTTCGTTCACGTTCTTCCTTTTCTTTGCGTTTTTTATCCAAAATTTCTTTTCTATTTAAACATTTAACCTTTTCATCTTGTAATGCTTTATTATTCGATTGTACCTACGTGATATAACTATTAGTTGAGGAATAGTAATTATAAATTATAAAAGTTTTTATTGATTATGTTATACCGCAAGTCCATGTTCACAACAATCGATAGCTTCTTCGATTTTATCAAGAGCATATAATGCTTTTGCAGAACGATAATACGCCTTGATATTTTGTGAATTTAACTTTAATGCTTTTGAACAATCTGTTAAAACTTTTCTAAAATTTTCTATTCTTCACCGAAAACGTATTAATTAGTCAATAACGTTTGTTGTTTAAAAAAAGAAATCAGTAACCCTATATAGAATACCTAATTCCAGGTTAACAGCAGCCCTGTTGGTTAAACACGCTTCAATAATTTTATCATCTTTACATTTTGTATCTAACGCCTTTGTGTAATATTCTATTGCATCCTTATATTGTGATTTACCAACTTTAAAGCATTCATTTCCTTGATTCTTAAAATTTTCTGCTACCTCTGTCACATCATTCATAATTCAAAGGTTAAAACTTAAATGATCTTTTCCATTTAGCAAGCAAAAAAGTATTGATGTTGGATATCATATACCTTCAGGAGGACCATCATATATGAGAGTTTGTAAAGCAGCTAAAGTATCGCTCTCCTCTTCCGGCATTTCAGTCATGAATAAAGGCACAGTATTCATCTCTTTAAGCAAGTCGCCACCTTCTGTAAAACCTCCATCGATTTTTGCTCTCTGTGGTCCTGGTACATTTGTCATTATTATTATGAAGATAATTTTACTGATTATCGGTCACTCGGCGATATAAGGCGCATTTTGTTCATGTGATTGATTTTTACGCCAAAAAAAACCATTGTATTACAAAATTACCCTTCCTTTAGGAAGTTGCTATAAATCAAGTAATGTTTCCGATGAATTTGTTACAATTAATTAAGGGGTAAATTAGGTAAATTAAGTGTGGGTCAATTTAGCAAAACTTCGTCAAAATGTTGGCCCATTATTTAAACTAGTTGATAACCTGAATTATAGATCAGGTTTATGGCTTTATATGGTAAAAATTTTTTATTGATGTTTCGGAGTCATTTATATTTATATTTACATGTAACAAATTTATTATTTATCACGGTTTTCACTTTTTATATTCAAAAAGAATTTTCCATAGAACTTATCCTTTTGACGTTTCTTATAATAATAATAAAAAAAAAAAAAATAATAATAAAAAAAAATAATATCATTTACGAAAAAGGACGTTTCTTTCTTTTAATATAATAATTGAGTTATGGTTATTTGAGAGTCCACTTTTTTTTTTCATAATATTTTTAAGAGTTAAATAATGCCCTTCACGTTATCAGCACCAAGGTCAGAGGTTGAACCTTCTCGATCCCAACAAATTCAAAGAGCGGACATCGTTTCTGCGGCCAACCAGGCCTCAACTACCACAAATCATTATCCTCGAAGACGAAGAAATGTATTTAGTACACTAACAGATTTGATACAAACGAATTCAATGGTCCGTTATGGTACCTTAATATTTTTAGTAGCATTGATTAGTGTATTATACTTTGCTACGACACATCAGGCAATTAGACCAACAGATTCGGGTCCAACAATAACTAGTGAATATTTAACTATCGTGCCAAATAAACATCCAAACAGGTCATCAGATGATGGATTTCCTATATCAGAAGGACAAACTGAGCCATTTGCTACTTTTGAAGCTTACGGCAAAGGAGATGTACAACAAATAGCTGAAGGTAGTCTTCATAACAATACAAATAAAGGTATAAGAGGAGTATTATATGATCGTGGAGATGGTTGTCAAAGTATTAAATTTAACGCGGATGATTCACCAACAATAGGAGTTGTTCCATCAATTCCATTACCCAAGGTCTTTACACCTTATAAAATAAGTTTAATATCTTCTGATGTAACTAATTGTCCATTGGATCAAAAAATAAAACTTTCAGATTATGATGGTGATAGAGCGATAATCTTTCATGTAGAAAGTAATTTAGATGAAGAAAATTTATCAGCATTAAACTCTAAAGGTTATACTATTCCTATATTTACCATCAATAAATCATCGGGTGACAATTTTATATCGGAATTAAAAAGGTTATATCAGGCCAAACCCAAAGATGATTCGTTATATAAGGTAATAATTGTAATCTTAAAACCTTATCATCAAATTGTTGTCAATTCTTGGCTATTTGCCATGTTTGCAGTTGGTGGTATTTTAGTGGCTTCATTCTTTGTTTCAATATTAATTCACATGAGATTATATCGTTTAAGAAGGAATCAACAGCTTGAAATTAGTAGACAAAGAGCTACTGATGAAGTTTTAGGGATGAAAAAATGGACTTTGGAAAAAGATATCATCGACACCTTCCCTATCATCATTTATGATAAAAAATCTGGTTCAATTTCGGAGGAACCAACACCTTCTACCGAATCTACAGATATGATTGCACAACCACAACCATCAACTCACGATAATGAGGATATCGATTCGATAAAAAATGAAAATGACGAATCTAATATGACGAATCGACAACTTCGTCATTCAATTTCCACACAATCAACACGAGGACTTCACCGTTCAATTTCCACTCGGTCAACACGATCAACAAAGTCAACAAGGTCACTTCGCGCGATCATTAATGCGACGAATTTATACAAGTCAACATCAATTCCAACTACCCCAACTACCCCAATTACCCCGACCAATCCAACTATTCCAACTACTCCAACTGTTGCAACTAATCAACTTACCCCAACTACCCCAACTCATCAAACTACCACAGCCACCACAACCATCCCAGCCAATCAAACTTCTCTGACAGCAGCAAGTGCATCAACTGATGATGATACAGACACATGTGCAATATGTTTAGATGATTTTGAAAATGGAGATGAAATAAGAGAATTACCTTGTAAGCATTGGTATCATGTAGAATGTATTGATCCTTGGTTAACAACAAAAAGTAGTTCGTGTCCTTTATGCAAAATCGATTGTAGACCAAAACAAAATGAGGAGATTATTATTGATGGTTTCGAAAATCAAGATAGCAATAATGAAAGCGATGTCAATAATGTTTTTGCTAGAATGGGTAAGGTATTTGGTAAATTATTTGGGAAAAGGTCAATAAGTGTAAGGCCAGCAGATACACGACAACAGAACGATAGGACTGTAGATGAACTAGAGATGGAAAGTATTGAAACTTCGAGGACATAACAATTATGGGAAATTAGTTAATTTAAAATCTCCTTTTATTTTATATATATATATAAATTTTTACCTGTTTTTTTTAACTTTACAAGTTTTTCTGTATTTATATTGAGAAGTTTAGGAATGGGTTGGTGTACATTTTATTTTTTTTTTTCCTTGCAATTTTAGTTATAATTTTTATAATTTACAAAAAAAAAAAAAAAAAAAAAAAATTTGATATTTGTTTTAAAACTTTTCAGTAAAAAAAAAAAAATTCTTTTAAATTCTCAATAAGTATATATTTCTCATTCATTGAACTATTAAAGGAATCACATTTAGTTATGATGAGAATGCATTATTTGTCTTGAAATCAAAACCATCATTTTGCATTGTAAAATTTACACAATTCCTGTAAATGCTAAATTCATAAATAAAAAAAAATATCGTGATCATCGACATCATAAGTGAGTAATTCGATTTTGGTTAACTCGTTAGAAAAAAAGATTTATTAATTAAAAAAATATATTTTTCATATTTTGATAATATTTAAATATTTGATTAATAATATTTATCTATATTATTAACTAATTTTTTATTTGATGGTATATCGATCTTTAATAGATTGGTATACCGCTCTAATATCCAATTATAATCTAATTACTAGTTTATAGTTATGTTAACGGTTCGATCAGTTCGGTTTCGGTTCGATTTTCGGCGATCTGAGAGTAAAATCGAACCTTAGACTGGTTTATAGACCGGTTTGAATTGTAGTCTAGACCGAAGTGTAAACCATTCGATATTAACAAAAAAAAATACCACCAAATATCGCAATTATTTTATTTAACAAAAAAAAAAACAAAAAAAAACAAAAATATCAAAATTTTATTGTCAAAAATTGACAAAAAAAAAAATTAATTCTAAATCTATAAAATCTATATCAAAAAAAAACATATTTCGTTGCTATAAATTTTTTAATTCCCTTTTTTTTCTGAAATCCAATTTTTCATACAAATAATTGCCCTTGCT